AAATTCCCAATTTTTGAAAAACATAGGTTCTACCCAAAACACCCAATTTCCCCCATGAAAATCATTGATTTGAAGTTGAAATCATGTTAAAAGATATTAATGATTGAAGGAAATGAGTAAAAATTGACTTACAATTGATTTGGAGGAGAAGAAACCTTTGAAAAATCGCATAAGTGTGTTTATGTTTTGAGAGGATATGATAATGGGTTAAAAATTCGGCTAAGTATAAAAGTTAGAGGTCTCAGATGTGGGAATTGCGAACTGGGGTTCGCAATTGCGAACCCGACCTCTGCTATTATGGGAATTGCGAAACAGGGCTCGCATTTGCGAACCCTTCAGGAAAACTGGACTTTCGCATTTGCGAAAGGGACCTACGCATTTGCGAGGTCGGAATTGCAAAGAACAACTCGCATTTGCGAGATAAGGCAAGCCTGGGCTGGTTCGCATTTGCGACCAAGCCCTCGCATTTGCGAGCCAGGCTTCGCAAATGCGAAGCCTGCAGGCCTGATCATACCGGCAATGAAACCTGCATTTTTCTAAGTTCAAAATGCACCCCGTGGCCTATCCAAAACTCATCTGAGCCCTCGGGGCTCCAAACCAAATATACACCCAACCTCAAAAATATCCTATGGACTTATTCGTGTACTCCAATCACCAAAATAACATCATGAATATCGAATTAAACCTTAAGATCAATGAAATTTCTCAAAACTTCTTAAACATCAAATTTTGCATTTAAGATCCGAATCACGTCAAATGGATTCTGTTACTTACCAAACTTAACCAACAACACATATAAATCATATTGAACCTGTACCGGGCTCCGGAACCATAATACGGGCCCGATACCTCAGGTTTCACATAACATTTCACTTTCGAAAACCTTTATATTTTTCAGAAAATAATTTCTTTCAAAAATTCATTTCTCGGGCTTGGGACCTCGGAATTCGAGTCCGGGCTTACGCCCAAGTCCCATATTTTCCTACGGACCCTCCGGGACCTTTAAATCACGGGTCCGGGTCCGTTTACCCAAAATATTGACCAAAAGTCAAATTAATTTATTTTATAGTCAAAATTTATCATTTTTCACAGAATTTCACATATAAGCTTTCCGGCTACGCGTCCGGACTATGCACGCAAATTGAGGTGATGCTAAAAGAGGTTTTTAAGGCCTCGAAATGCAGAATTCAATTTAAAACAAGTGATGACCTTTTGGGTCATCACAGAGATACATTGAATTACAATGAAAAAAAAGACAATGAATACAATGAAATACATGAAAATACATTGAAATATATTAACAGTAAATAAAGATGCTCAGCCCCAAACTCCTTCGTCTTGTTCAAGAACAAACCCTAATTTCCGGCGAATCTTCCTCGTTATGCCATCGGAATCACTGTCGCTCTCCGATGGATCCAAAGGCAGTGAATTTTCACGCGATTTAATGGCTGCGCCGGCACGAAAATGAGCTTGCCGGAAAGCGGAATGTGATGCCGTGGATAACGGCTGTTGACGGACGTTGCTGTTCGAGAAGAGTGGAATTGGTGATTGAACCAGGTGAATGAATGAGGCTCGAACATATAAATAGTGATGCCATTTTGACCAATTCATTAGAGGCTTAACTACATGAGCCATTTCTGTTGCAATTGTGTTAGCTCTTCTAGTGGGAAGAGACGGCTTGAAAAGCTTTATTCATGAGCTTATTTGGAGATGGGGGAAGAGAAGGGGATGTATCAAAGTAGAGATAGAAAGAAAATTATGTTACTGATTAGCGTATTTAGTGGCTTAGGGCTAGGAGGTAACCAAAATTAAATATTTTGCTATAAACCTTAAAAGGTATCTATAGAATATAATGCTGTATTGTGGGCCGGTCTGGGACCGGGACCGGACCGGGCCCGCGGTCTTAACGGGCTAAACGGTCCCGGCGGGCCGGTCCCTGATGGTGTAGAAAGCCCGTGGCGGGCTGGTCCCTTGCATGAGGCCCACGAGATCGGGACCGCTAAGCCCGAGACCGGCAGGCGGTCCTGGGCCGGTTCAACCGGTCCTAACGGGCTCCAACGGCTCTTTTTTAAAAAAAAAAAATTTTTTTTAAAAAAGACCAACGGTCAGATTTTAAAATCTAGCCGTTGGCCTTTAATTTTCAACCGTTTGGAACTTTAAAAAATAGCCATTTGGCCCCCAAACTTTATATAATTACACTTTTTCCCAATTCTCAACTATAAATACCCCCTCATTCTTTCATTTTTACTCACCAATTCATCAATCTATCTCAATCTCTCTCAATCTATATCTAATTTCTCTTCTATAATTGCTTATTTTATTATTGCAATTTCGTGAAAAATTGTGAAGTTGGTGAATTGAAGTATTCAAGTCTTCAAGTCTTCAACGATTTTCAATTTTCAAGAAGTTGTTCGGCAATTCGGTAAACTCGTTCCAACTCTTAAGTTTTAAGAATACATTTTTGTGTGTTTAGTTTGCATAATTGTAATTAATATGGCATTTTCTTTGAAAAAAATGTTTGGTGGTAAGGGAAAAGCTAAAATTGGTGAAAGTAGTCTCCAACCTACTACCCTTCCCGGCTCCCCGACCCAGACTTGTTACCCGTCCTGCTGCTCCTATTATTCTTGATAGTGATAACCCTTGTTTTCAATTTTCCGATAGTGAATTTTGCCATAATGTTGCACCAGATGAACAATTAAATGAAGAAGTTATGAATGCTCTTTATCCTAATCAAACTATCTTAGAAAATGATGAGGAAAATGAGGATGTAGATGAAACCCAACCGGATTTAGATGATTCACCTACTAGTCCTGTTAATAACCCAACTGATGCCCCGCCCGACCCACCTGTAGAAACCCCTACTTTTAATAGACAACCTTCTAAACGCCTAGAAACATCAATAGTTTGGAATTTTTTTACTCAAGTAAGAGAACAAAATAAGGCTAAGTGTAAAACTTGTGGGAAATTGCTGGCGCATAAATATACTGGAGACCGTAGCGGTACGGGTAGTTTGGCTAGGCACATACAAACACACCCTAGAGATAAAGTTAAATATTTGCAAATGAAAGCGCAGCAAGAGGGGACAAGTGTAGATACTGCGGTTAACCCTAGTACAGGTTCAAATCTAGTTCAACCAGGAATTAACACTGTGACCGGTGGTATTTTATATTACGATCCTAATAAAGATCGTGAAGAATTAGCAAAGATGGTTACCGTTATGTGCTTACCATATACTTTTCCTTCTAACCCTAATTTTGTGCATTATATTAGAAAAGTTTT